TCTCGCTGAGCAGCAGGTAACACACACAGACGCTGATGGGCCGTCAGCAGCATGTTTCCCAGAGCAAAAACATGTCACTGCAAACATAGGAGAGAGGCACCAAACACGGCCACAGCCTGCTACTTATAAACAAGCTTGGCAGCAGAACAACTTCCATATTTATCTTTTCCAATAGCAGGCTTTTTTGAGCTGTGAAATATAGAAGTGAGGCTTTCTGCATTATATCAGTAGAAATCAGCAATAACTTTTTTTCGTAGAAACAGCTACTTCAAGGCAAAACTGCTTTGAAGGATGGATAACTTATTTAGTTCTTTAGATGTTACTAAAAACACCTTCATGGGAAGAACTGAGAAATCAGAAGGATTTTTACTCCTCCTAACTTATTGTAGTCCATCTTCTCCTTCACTGAAGCAGGTGGCCTTGAGCTGCCAGATATCACAGTTCAATCTTGATGTGTCTCTGCTGCATCATGGTTTTCTATCACTGCAGGGAACACTCAATTATTTGCTTCTCTTGCACTGAAATTTCCCCGCAGGGGCTGATTGAGCAGTTCCTGCTGTACAAAGGCAATAGAAAGGTGCCTTGTAGCTTTTGACATCAAAGAAAACACTAGGAGTTAATACAGATACATATAAAATGTAATCATCAAGTCAATTTTTTTGGTTTTTTTTTTTGTTTTTTAATTTTGAAGATGGATTTTAAGTACAATTGACAATTTTGTATCTGCTGTTCCGGAAAGAATGGTGTCGAGCTGCAGTCTTCTGAACCCTGGGCATTTCCTTAATAACTGATGAAAGGGTGAAGAACAAAGTGGCATTTTCTCCTGTAACTGTATTTTAAAAGAAAAATGACACTATTCCTATTTTGTAAGAAATGAGATAGGTAATTCCCTCAGAAGAAAATTCAGGGCAGCAAATCACAAGTGGAGGCAGGTGTCTCCTGGCAGTGCTGAGTAAGATACCTGCGCCCCAAAAAGAGGTAAATTTAAGCTCCCTGAGTTTCTCTGCTGCCAGCACAAGGTCACCCCTCTTCCCAGGGTGGATTTCAACCGGGTCCCAGTTGAAACTGGTCGGCTGCTTCTCCCTGTCAGCAGCTGGCTATGGGCATGATGCTGAGCAGCGACTGCCATGGAGGCCAGAGCTTAGGAAAGGGGCTTCGCAATGCCGACTGTCAGAAAAAGTCAGATTTTTATTTAACTCATCTTTTCAAAGCAACTTGAAGAATGTGAATGTTGCTTGGGATGGTGTTGTGTCTTTTAAGCCCTCTTACTGTTTAATATTCTGAACAAACTTCTATTCCCATTTCTAGGTGGTCTTCTCCTCCTCAAAGCTTTTATAAGCCTTAAGGAATAAGCATAGTATTTGATTGATTAAATGAACAATGCTCTCAGCTTTTCTTTGACTTTGTTTAAAAAGTCATATAAAGAGTTTTGTTTTCCAATGTGTAAATGTGAGATAAATCATTTGAGACCCTTTGTACTCTAGCAGCCAAACTGTATTACTGACAGTAGGGCTATGCCTAATTTAGACCAACAGCAAAAGCTGACAGAAAGGGCTTTGTCAAACATACCAACTGATTTTCATGACTCACTGTGATCAAGGGCCCAAAACTTCATTTTCTGTAAGATATTTTCTAAAGAGAGAACATACAAATTCTGTTTGATGTGCATTGTGGCATTGACCTTTACACAGGGCTCTGCAGAGAGCTGGTACAGCACCGATATAAACTCTTTGCCAAATAAGATTTATCATGTAATGTGACCAGAACCTGAGCTAAAACCGAAGCTTAATATGTGAACTATTAAATGCTTGTTGGATGCTTTCTTGATTATAGGACACATGCAAATTAATGCATACATGGTGGAGAAGTCATTATAAACTCTGAAACGTCATTTCAGGCGTGTACTAAGCTATGCAGAGTTGCATGTACCTTTCATTTGCAGACGTTTTGCATGAAGATTGCTCCAATCTGTTTGCTAAACATCAAAGCACAATGTGTAGCAAATCACACTGTAAAGCAATGCAAATCACTTGCTTGCAAACAGCCTGTTTCGCCTGCCACCAAGTGAGTATATCACAGACATGAATGTTTATTCTCTGCTTATTTCCTCACTAATTTGAAACATCCATCTTACCAGTGAAAACTAACACAGAATGGAAATTCATGAATACAGGGCAACACTACTTCAGCTGAAAAGGGGCTTAGAGTGTTACATGTAGGAAGATCATAAATTACCTACCTTATCGGGCATAAAATAGGATAAAAGGGTGCCCCTTAGTATGTAAGTGGAAAAACAGGTATACTTGTATTTCAGTTTTAAACCCGTTTGAGCAGTTAAAATCTGAAAAAAAAAAAGAGCTAGTGACACACAGAGGTAGTGACACAAAACAAGCTACTGCTGTAACACAAAAGCACAGTTTAAAAAATTCAACAGACCGAAAGGACATTGCATTTCTAAATACATAGATCAATCTTAATCATTGTGATAAGTGCATATACCTCCATCAAGCAAATGATTTAAATGGTGCAAGGGAGAGGCAAGTTTGACCCAGAACCCAAGTCTGTCATGCATTGGGGAATGAAATGAGTGAAGGAGTTAAATGGAGCTTGAACTTTAGTGTCTGCCAAAATCAAATAAATGCCTCAAATGGGCATTTCACTGAGACCCAAGAAAGCAGTTGTTTTGTTTTACCAGTGCTAACCCTAAGCAGCTGATACAACAGAAGTGGATCTCAGGAATGCAGAGAGTCAGGAGAACCCTGATAGAATCTCCATTCCAATATTTTCAAGCCCTGAAAAAATACACTTTCAATGCATATCTACTAGCAGGTGTGGAACATCACTGACTGCCTCTCCAGCAGTGTCTCCAGAGAGATCTAGCTGTGGCAGAGGAGTCTCTGAAACTCCCAATGAGAAACTTCCAATGAGGCTGGCTGCAAGCTGGGAAAAAAACCTGAGGATGTGAGAAGAGAAAACATGCTCTTGGGGAAGAGAAACCAAAGTGAAAAGGAAAAGAAAGGAGAAAAAAAAAAAGGACAGAGTTTCAGGATGAATAATTAAGTCATTCTTGAAATCATTTATAGGAAAAAAATGTAAATAGAATGAGAAAGAAGGCACTTTTTAAAGTGAAGAAAGAAGAGCAAGGCTAGACAGTAAAAGAAAATGGAGCTGGAGATGAGTAGAAAGACCTTAGACACGAAAATATTGAAAGAAGGGATAAGCAGGAGACAAAAGACAGAAGCTAGGATCCACCTAAATTTTCTCACTTGTTGAGCCTTCATGGGATTTTGAAAGCAAGAGGAAGTTTAACAGCAGCCAAAGCATTTTTCTTCTCTAGGAAGAAACCAGAAATGTTGCTGTCAGATTCTCCATTCTCCTTGTCAGAAATGTGGTGAGATGGACAGATGCTTTACAATGTTGTGAAAGACAGAGCTGCAGGAAGTTATGTCAGATACTGACAGGCACAGCATGTTCACTGCTCAAAGGGGTTCAACAAAGCTTTTAGTCTTCCCTTCCAATTCCACTTCCATTCTCTAACAGCTGGAAATGCAGTTAATATTAACAAGCCTTAAGTCTTACCCACTGAAGGGCAATGTAAGATATCACATTGAGAAGTACTCTCTTTGTGATTACAACTAAAACAAATTCATCTTCTTATCATCATATTCCATAAATCTTTCACTAATGCTTTTCTCTGCTGAAATTAAATGTCATTAACTATTTTTGTATTAATTGATTTTTTTATTAAATTACTCAGAATCAATAGACCAGATTGACCGTTGTATTACATTTGTTTATCTAGTCCTCCTTTTGCTATTAGAAGCACCACAAACACAAGACACTAACACGTGGGTCCAGCATCTGTATGAAATATCTGTATGAAAAGCACAAATGTTTTTGTTCTTATTATATGCAAAACTTCAGCTTTAAATAAAGGTCATAGCACTTTCGGGAGATAATTTGTGGGGGATGCACTTAATTGATATAATATGTCCATTACAAGATTTGTGCTCAAGTCCCTCTCTTCAGAGTATTTTTAAAATACCAGATAAGATGTTTTTGCTCATGGATTTGCAGATTCTTGTTAGTTTTTTCAACTAGCTGGGTATTTCCTGAACTGTCTCCATTCCTGTGGAAGGGTCTGGATTGTGTCGCCAAATGGTGACAGTGGCTACTAAACAAAATCAAAATGGCTGGTGTTGGGCAACCAGTAGATGACAGCAAGCACAGTGCTTCCAGTCACTGAGCATATTGTTTTACCTGCCTCAGACATCTGCAACATGGACTTTTATGTCTGAGCTACTAAACTATGCTTCCTCTAAGGAAGAAAAATGGGAATGCCTTAGGCACAACGCATTTGACTTATTTTAAGTATCCACTTTAAGTAGAACTGAATCGGGTTTTAAAATTACTTATTTCTCTCCACTAACTGTAAAAAGAGCTTGGGGTGATCGCAACTGCACATATCGGCATTTGATCAGACAAGTCCTGTTACTAGTAACTGAACACAGTGGTTTTATGATGAGAGTTGAATCCTGAGCGGACATGATTTGCCCCCATTACAGTTTTCAATTATTTTGCATTTGAAAGAGATAGGCCTAGGACAATCCCATGACAGAGCCTGAACCACTGTCTAAGCCTCAAGTGGCTCCCTCCATGGCAGGTATGGAGATGGTAGGAAAGCCATGAATGTATCCAAGCTTCAGGCAGCAGAACCCGCAGACCAGCAGCCTTCAAAACCGCTCTGCTGTTTCGACTGGCATAGGGAAACCAACAGACTATGACGTGGCCTCCGTACCAGAACCTGTATGCCCTAGACAGACCATAAGGCTTGAAAAAAATTAACTCCTGGTTTGACCTGTTCTCAGAAAGAAACAGAGTGTAAAAGTTCAGTCTTACAATGCATCTTAAAAGTTAATCTGTTTTGATAAAGATGTTTATCTTTTCCTTTCTTTTCCCCCCACCCCACCTATACACCATCAAACTTGTGATCATCCAAGGAAACCACTGAGAAAAGAGGAGAACGGAACCAGTCGAGCTGAATATGCAATGACCTCCTCCCAGAACAACAAAACAGTTGATAACAATGCAGTCGTATAATTCCTGAAAGCCCTTCAAGATGCAGGAGGTGTTAAACTTTAGAAGCACACACACGACGTATGCAAGGTGGGTGAACTAAGGAAAGGAGAGGCGCTCTGTGACCATGGACTCAATTTCGGAAACAGCGCCCGCAACAGTGATTTGGAAGAGAAAAGCAGGTTGCTCTTTAGGCCTGCTGCTTGTCCACGGGAGGATAAACTTGCCCATGTGGGCTGCCTGGAGAGAAGGCCCCACAAAGGCGTAAGCATTGCATGCTGCATCTCTTGAAAGCATCGTCACGATGACTCCTATTTTTCTTCTTCTCCTCCCCCCCACTTTTTTATTTTGGACTGATTAAGCAAAAGCTGCTTAAATAGGATCTTTTGATCAAGAGGTGATCTGCCAGAGTGGCAGCAACTTATTATAACTGGGTCTGAGGTTCAAGGGTGGAAGTTCTCGCCTACATGCTTCTCCAGCCTGCGCAGAGTTTTCACTTACAAGTCAGTAGCTTTGTATGCTTAGTTCATTCATTCTTATCATTCCTATTATTTTGCTATTAAAAAAAAAGAGAAAGGTTTCTGTTAAGCCATCGAGCAACCAAAAATTGCATGAATTTGTGACTTAACCCAGGAAATTCATCTGCAGTCTCGTGACTATGCAATTTTCACGGCGGAAGACTTTACAGGCAAAAGAAATCAAGATACATCATCTTAGCAATTAACATCGTTAATGAAAAAGAGATACTATTAAGAGGTGCTTTGAACATTACTACTTCATAATCAGCCTCCTTTTTTCATCACATTTTATTTTTTATCTATAACAAGTTTTTTCTTTGTGAAATTCTACATTTCTCTATGTTTGCATCATACTGATTTGCCAGGGACCCCTCCAGGAAAGATTTTGTTTACATTTTGAAGTGACTATTTGGGCAGGATTGTGTTGAAAGACTAGCAGGACTTTGAAAAAGAAGTGGTCTGTGTTCACTGATCAGTGTTGTTTCCTGAAAGTGCTGAGTCTCTGGAACTAGCTCAGCAAGGACATCATTAGGTCTGGCTCAGAGGACCTTTTATGAGGAACTGGTAAGTTGGATGTGCCCATGCTAATTCAGTCTCTGAAGAGGGACTGCCAAGTGTGCCAAATTCAACATAATAGCTTAATGTTGTACTTTTTGTGATGTGGATTGCAGATAACTTAAAGCAAAGCTGAATCCACCCGACTTCATTAGGATCTCAGGTTAGACTTACTACATAACCCCTAGGATAAAGGCCAGTGATTAGCCTCTGCTTTCTAAAAGTTTTCTTTGTGTCATACCTCCATGTATATGTCTCCATTTACCTCTGTGCTGAAAGTAGCGATGCAGTGAAAGACAAATTTCCACACTGGCTTCTTGTCTGGACGTCAAGCTTCAAAACCACTCAGTCTCTGTGTCTGGGAGTAACCCAAGCGAGCCAGCCCAGCCCCGCTCTGTACAGTGACTGCACTCCAGCCTTCCAGTCTGTCAGTACTGCAAAATAGAGATACTTTCAGTCTTTTATAAGGATGTGCCTGAACTGCAAAAGTTAGATCTTGATTTTGAACACATTCTTGTCTGCAGTTGGTCTATCTCTGGTATTTAGAGCTTGGCCTGACAACAGAAGATGTTGTTTTGCAGGCTTTCCCCACAAAAAAAAAGCTCTGGGATGTTCAAATCAGCAGTTTCAGCTCAGGCCCATCTCTAGTTTTCTATTACTTAATGAACAATAAGGCATATGTAAATATAAGTATCTTTTCAATGACAAAAATGAAATGCTGCTATATACTACTGTTGAGGAATTTATGGAGTGACTCCTTTAGCTTTTTAGCTATCATCAATATGTAGAAATTAAGCTACATAAAATTATTTTTAAAAGTCTAGACTTTGCTGAGAAGTAACACAATGGTAAAAGTGGAACAAGTAAACTCAAGAGTATCATCATACCCTGCCATATTTATATTGTGTGCTTGCACAAAATACACTGATATGTTCTTAGATCCAAAGTGGGATTAAAATAACAGAATCTACATTTTGACTCTATTATTCCAAATGTTGGTTGCCTAAGACACATAGCCCCTAAATATTATAATAAAATATTTCAAGTATATTTCTACAATATTTTTAAGCTATGTCATATATTTTGATGTAGTTACCAACCTATGTTTGCCTTTCTTTTTTTTTTACTTTGGTTGTTTCTGCATAAATGTGGCCTAGCTTGAGACTGGTTGCATGTGTAGCTGAGAGTATAAAGTATGAGTGCAGATGGGTTAAGCATGATACAGGCTCAGGATTAGCACTTCCTCCTAAAGGTTGTTTATTTTATTTTCTAACAAAGCTTTAAAGGCATGTTCCATAAGGCCAAAATAATAGAAAGGATTTGTAGCTCAATAAATCCATGAAATTGTGTCTGCTTTTGAGGGAAAAAAAAAAGTCTAAAGAGAAGGCCACGGAACACCGTCTCATCTTCAGAATTGTTAATGATAAAATGTCTTCACTGAGAGAAAATCCTGACGCATGGAATTCCCTACAGGCAAACTCATCCCAGACATCTAAATATTTTTGCAGCGGAACATAAACATTCAAATCTTCATACGGAGCAGGGAGGAAGGACATTTTAGGGATACCCATTTGTCATAGGTGTTATTTTCCAATCCACTGCTGACCTGCTGTTTTACCAGCAAGCAATTTTGCCTTTCTGTGCCTCAGTTTGCCTGTCTGTATAATCATGACATGGATGTGTCTTATAACATAGGAGGCACTGCTCAGTATTTTATTCAACGTCCTGAAATTAAAAAAAAAAAAAAAAGTTTGTGCACATTAAAATCACCATCCCCATAGTATTTAGCTAAATGTGTGGCCCAAAATATCTCATAAATAAATGCTCCTGTTGATTTCTTTTCATTCTTCATGACCACAAGAGAAAAGCAGCAGACAGGCTGGGAGCTGCTCCCTCTGCTTTTCCAAGGTCTTTGTTTCCAGCAATTGCATAGCTCTATAGGAATAGCAAGGAAATTGTGTATGAGATGGCTCTGCCTTAGATTCCTGGCTTTCTAAACACAGTTATCTACATTGCACCCAAATTTAAGTTGGTCTCCAGAAAAGCCCCAGGAAAAGGATAGAGCAAGCAGATTTAAGTCTTCAGCAAAGAGAGGCCAGGATGGTGGCACTTTGTGGAAAAGATTTCTAAAGTTTTCTGGGTTGTTTAATGCTCTGCAGGCTACCTACCAGGCTTTTATGAGAGAAGCTTCTGTGTTTCCTTCTAATACTGTAATTAAATACAAAAGGTAAAGGAATAGTCTTGATGGATAAGGGCTTCACTCAAGCAGTGATCCTTTAAAGATGGAGCTGCTACTTCAACATACCACTTTACAAAAATTTCAAGTTTGTTTTTAGCTTCCAAAATATGAGGCTTAGGAAGGCCCGGCATAGCTCCGTTCATAGGACGGGCAGATCCTCAGCAGATGCAAGGAGGCCCCTGTCTGCACAGATGTAACTGCTCCGCTTTTAAGCCTCTGAGCACAGCCAGACCTACCCATGCAACGGCAAATTGCTTTGTTCAGTCTGAGGGAGAGGATTAACTCTGAACTTTCTTCTGAAAACCCATTTTAATTAAATACGTAGAGCCACTAGCAGACACAAGCAGATACTGCACTTTACAGGGCCTGAGCTGCAAATGCTGTTTCGTTGGTGACGCCAGGAGGAGCTGAAGGTGTCAGCGCTTTGCAGGGAGCCACAGCCTTGCAACCCTTCCTGGCTCAGACCCAACACAGAAGTGCAACCGGGAAGGCATCTGTACCTTGGACAGATCCTGCAAAAACGGACATGGAAAGGAAAATAAGAGAGTTCTAAGTATAAGATATAAATATATTGATTGATATATATCTATACGCAGACTTAATTTTCCAGCCTTGCTTGCCAAATGGTCCTGTATAGCACGTGAAACAAGTATGGACTCACTGCTTTGAAGAGGTAATGACTACAGATGCTGCCAAGCAATGGAGAATCAGGCCTATGATAGATATATATTTAAAATACTCCCTGCATCTGTACAAACAAAAATATATTATTTTAAACTGAAAAATAGTGTGTTTAAATCAATGCATGAATGTAAATATTCTAAGAACTGCCTTCTTGACTGTGTACCACATGTACAGATGAAAACAAGTATTGTTTATAGGAAATCTGTATCAGTGGTTAAAATGACTAAAGAGAAAAAAAAATCAGAATTAATGTTGTCATGTTTCTCAAACAAGCCATTAATGTATATTTAGTATTTAAGGATATTGCTCAATAAGTATGTTCCGTACCAAAAACTGTGTTGCATAAACAGATTGTGCAGTACCCTATTTTAAAAAGGCACCATAATTAATTTTTATTTTAAATAAAAATGTACTTGTAAAAAGTTTCTTGTGTCCTGTTGGTTGTGTACCTGACAATAGAGACATCCTGAGGAGAGACACTGAACAGCGGAATAAAGGTAGTACCTATTTAAGCACTTCTCAGATTGCCTAAATTAACCCTGTTTGTTTAAAAGTATTTTGTATTCTGGTTGCAGAACAACCTGTGGCTATTGTTCACACCTACATTTGACTGTTTTGGGGTTTCATTTTGTCTAAGACTGTAGTTTCAGCCTGAGATATAAGCAATGCCATACTGGTGCTAGATGCTGACACTTTTCTTATCCTCAAAACTTATAATCTCATATGTCCTGCTGTGCTGATAGCACCAGTTAACTTTCTGTGTCCTCACCTACACGGGTTCTTATACAAGAGCAATATGGGAAGTGCAGGAACGGGAGAGGAAATCATTTGTTGAGGGAAAATTGGATGCAGAAGTCAATGTTTCACAGAACCATACATAAGCAAATTGCTGCAGCTGCCTCAAACCTTAAGAAGCTCTTTCTCTTTATTGTGCAAAAGGTTCTGCAAGTTTTCCTAATAAAATAATGCTTGAGTGACATTGTTATCTTTTGCATACTACTCGCTCTAGTGACACACTAGTCAGTTTATTCATTTTTGTGCAACTGTATGCAGACCTCATCCTTCCTCTTCCACACAAGAACAAAAGGAGATTACGGACCAGCCCTTCAATAGGTCTACACTGATTGATCGCAGTGAAGCCTGGATCCTCTGGCCAGGATTTATCACTCCTAATTTTATCCTTTAACTGACACGTGAGTGAGGAACGCAATCTACACAAGGTATCTCGAAAGTCAAGAGTTTCTCAGCAACCTGAACCATCCTCTCAGAACATAGTTCTTCCTCAACTGCTTTCAGAAGGAGCCTCAAGTAACTTTGCCACCTATCATCACCTTCATTCATAGACTCCTTCACAGTACCAAGATTTGCCTGCCTATTTCCTAGACTTTAATGATTTTCCTCTGTCATTTGCAAATGAGTTCATATCCCAAGTTAAAGCATCCCCTAAAATGAACAAACCCCAAGCTAGCACTAATAAAAAATTATCAGGTGGCAGTTTAATGAGTTAAAGCAATAAGCATGATGTCACATAATGATGTCCAGCAGATTCAAATATCATCTATATTTTGCAAAAAGAAACTTCATGTTAAAATACTCTGTGAACGCTGAGAAAGAAAATGCTTGAACTTCAGGTGTCAAATCTACTGGTGTAACATCCATAGATCCAGTCTCCAGTGGAGAACGAAATCAGTCACTTAGGAGGGAAGAGCGCCTTGATCGAGAGGGAAGTGATGGAAATCTAGTCAACAGGATACAGTCCCTCTAGAACTCAGGTGAGTCCCTCAAGTCACAATAACAATAAAAATATTAACTCATAATTTAGTGCCAGTTGATTAGATATCTGGATGCTTTATCACAGTGACATGGTCACACAAACCAAAGCAAGAATACCGTAGAAAATGACCATAGTATGAGCGCTCTTCAGTGAACAACAGTATTTGGTGCAAATCCGATTAGACTGTAACACAGCAGAACAGCTGCTAACCGAAAAATTGTGATTTGACTTTAAGCATAGATGAAAACATTACTAAATAATATGACTGCTCAGGGAGAGGGCAGAACAGGGCAAATGTTTGGGACACCTGGGATCTCCCACTTAGCCTCCTTTAACAATTTATAAATTAAAATCCTACAGGCTTTAATTTCCAATCTGCTGTATAAATGCCAAGGCTGTAACAAATCAATTTTATTATAAATGTTGGTTAGGTACATCAAATCTTTCAGGTTTGTTAGTTTCTTTAATCTGTGAGACCTCATAAAAAACATTAAAGTG